GATGTGCCCACAAAGAATTAACCACAAAGGTCACAGTGAAGTAAAGCAAGAAGCCGAGAAGAGAGTCTCACAAAGAGAAGGGAAAATAGACACACTCCATGGAAGCCGAGAGGAAGATGGGATTATATGCCAAGTAAATGTCCAAAATAGGTAAGTTAGGTTAGGGTTAAATTGTGGACCAAAACAAGGCTCAACTCAATTAAAGTGGGTTTCAAAATAATAATATAGCCTTCCAAGGAAATGGGGCGAACCGTGAGCAACACTATTTAAAATAGGTTGCTTCGAAAGGTCCATAAAAAATGTGGATTGTGTTGTCTCGATAATTGTGTCGATGTACTAGTCAATCATATGGCCAATGCCGATTGATAATAAAACCGAGGTTACATCATAGTCCGGGGAAGTCGTTTGTAAACAAATTGCCTAACAATTTGGATTCCCAGTGATAATATTTTACTCCACAATTTTAGATTATAAAGTGTTCTAGGATTAATTGGTTTCGAATTTAACGTTAGTCTCTTTCAAGATCCATGCTTGTATTGGTCATTCCAACTCGTCTAAAATAATTAAATTTCCTAAATAAAAAATAAAGCGGAAGAGAAAAAAAAATGATGAGATATAATATAGAATATGATACATTATAAAGAAACGGCAAAGAAAATCATTTTAAGATTACCTTTTTGGATAATATTATATTTTTGATATGCATCGTTGCACGTTTATGATATACTTTTAATTTTATAAATAAATTTTGAATTTCTTAATTTTTTTTGATAAATGTCATTGATGTTAAAGTGTCGAGTATTTCGACAACCGTCGTAGCAAGAAATTGTTAAAATTAGTATTATGTAAATAAGACAAACTTGGTATTTTTAGCTGGACTATATTGAACAAGACAGCTTGTGATTTTGTCTCTTGACTCCTTTTTTGGCTATTTATTTTATTAAGTAGATTTATAATCAATATTTTATGAGATTGAATTATAATACTGGCTTGAAGAAATAAAAAGGGAGGTGCCACTCCCATGCCCTAATTCAAGAGAGCGTGCGCAAAAGGTTCTCCCTCCCATCATATGGGGACTGTTGTCCCTCTGACGTACCTTGTGCATGCAACGTTATGGATAAAGCTAAACGTACAGAATACGTTTTACAGAAAAGTTACAGAAATTCAAAAACGAAGTCACGTGCCGGCAAAAGGAGAAGCAGAGAACTATATGATGGAAAAAAGTATTTAATAAATTCAATAAATTACTTATATTTTTGTCTTAATTTTCGGACTCATTATGAGATATCAAACGAAATCGAAATATTACATTCTTAATATTATTTTGAATTACTAACGGCCTAATATTTCACGTCGTTAATGGTGCGCAAAACGGTCAATCATAGCAAATGTTACAGCGCGTCAAAGTAAGTCGTTCCAAACTAATATTTCGAGAATTTCGATACCAAGCTAACTTTAAAAAAAAATCGACGATTATACACTAGTCAAATCCATAAATCTTCTAAATCTTCTCGAAACTCATTTCAAGAACTAACTGATAAAATAATTGATTTTTTTTAAAACAAAAGATGAGTTATACGCATCTTTTTAACACATACGTTTGATATACATTTAACTATTTTCGATATTCATTTAGATCATTCGATGTGTTTATCATATAATTCTCGAAATGAGCTTCGAAATGATATAGAAGATTTATGAATTCGACTAGCGTACAATCATCGAAGAATTTTTAAAGTTAACTTGTTATCGAAATTCTCGAAATATTAGTTTGGAACGGCTTTGATAAGGAATAAGCTTATGATTCTCTATAATTTTTGCCACAATATCATCTTGTATAGCTGTAGGGATATTTTATATATTTGTAATTTATTCTTTCCTATTACATATGATTTCATAACTGTAATTATTGCCTATATAATCAGAAGTTATCTCCTCCATTTGGTAAAGAGAATTTTAGCCATTCTATTGATTGTCTAACACTTTTATGGTATCAGAGCAGTAGTTTTTTGTTCGATCCTCACCATAGCTGATTCGTCTTCTTCATCTCCGAATCTTCCCCTTAACACAATGGTGCATATGCTCACCATTCAACTGACTTCCTCCAATTATTTATTGTGGAAGAATCAGTTTGTTCCTCTCTTAGCAAGTCAATACCTTCTTGGTTATCTGGACGACAGCATCAAGGTTCCATCTGACAAGATTACTGCCCCTGATGGCACCACAAAGCCGAATCCTGATTATATCTCTTGGCTGTGGACAGATCAGATGCTACTCAGTTTGCTCCTTCATCTCTTATAAAAGAGTCTATAAGTGAGGTACTAGGTTTACGTCTTTCACATGAGGCTTGGCGTGCTTTTGAAGTCTCATTTTCGCATAGGTCAAAGACTCGAGAACTACATCTTAAGGATGAACTCCAACTGATGCAACGCGGCTCTCAGTCCATTGCTGAATTTTCTCGAACCTTCAAAGGTCTTTGTGATCAATTGGCTGCTTTTGGTCATCCTATTAACGACACAGATAAAGTTCACTGGTATTTACGAGCATTAGGACCAAACTACAAGATCTTTTCCAGCACCATGATGTCACAGCTTCCATTACCCTTTTTCGCAGAGATTGTTCTGAAAGCTTTGAGCCATGAGATTTTTGAATGATCGATCTCCCATTCACCATCCAACTCTGCCTAGAAAGGAAAAAATCAGTCATTAATCTCAAATTAGCCTTCCACAACTTCTGTCAATTTGAGCCTTCATCAACCTCTGTTTACTGTCAGTTGTGTGACAATAAAGAACGCCTAGCAAAATGTTGTTGGGTCTACCTAAAACTTAAGAAGAAGCAATCCGCTAACCTTGCTGAAGCATTTTCCGCCTACTCAATTCAAGGTCTGAATGACTCCAAATGGTTTCTTGACTTTGGAGCAACATCCCACATGACAAATGACATCGAAGGCGTGGATGAACCGGCTGTTTACTCTGGTAATGAACGTGTCATGGTTGGAAATGGTCAGTCTTTAGCAATATCTCACACCGGTTCCATTTCATCTTTTGTTTCGACTAGTCCCATGCTTTTATCAAATGTCTTAGTTGTTCCTGGCATTAAGATAAATCTTATTTTAGTCAAATTACAAAAGAGAATAATTACTATGTTATCTTTTCTTCTTCTGGTTTTACCATACAGGACCAAGTAACAAGAAAGGTACTGGGAGTTGGAAAATGTGAGAATGGTCTCTACGTGTTGAATCGTCGCCATCATGCCTTCATGTCCACCACTTCCTCTCCACCGCAAGCCTATGGTTGTTTATGGCATGCACTCCTTGGTCATCCAAATTATCATACTATTGTTTCCCTTTCTAGATTAGGTTCTATCTCTTGTACTGATGCATTGGTGAACACAAATTCTGATATTTGTTTTGGTTGTAAACTTGATAAAAGCCACTGATTACCTTTTTCTTTAAATGATGAACATTGTGCCATGCCTTTTGATCGTTTAAACTATGACTTATGTGGTCCATCACCAGTTCTTTCTTTTACTGGTCATAGATACTATGCTATGTTTATTGATGATTGTACTAGATTTAGTTGGATATTTCCTTTCCAACTAAATCTGATTTTTTTGACACTTTCATTCATTTCCAACGCTATATTGAGACGCAATTTTCAGCAAAAATTAAATCATTTCAATGTGATGGTAGAACTGAGTTTATAAATAATAAGTTTCGCTCTTATTTGCACTCTTTTGGTATTGTTCTTTGTATGGCATGTACTTATACTCCTAGTCAGAACGGCATTGCCGAACGCAAGCATCGCTATGTTACAGAAACAGGTCTTACCCTTATGTTTCATGCACAGGTACCACTCTCTTTGTGGGTTGAGGGCTTCTCTATGACTGTCTTTCTCATTAACTGACTCCCGTTACTAATACTTGATGGCAAAACTCCTTATGAGCTCTTGTTTGGTATGCAATCAGATTACTCTATACTTCGTACTTTTTGGTGTCTTTGCTTTCCTTATTTGAGAGATTACTCAAATAAGGGATTACTCCTTATGAGCTCTTGTTTGGTACACAACCAGAGTACTCTATACTTCATACTTTTGGGTGTCTTTGCTTCCCTTATTTGAGAGATTACTCACCTCATAAATTATCTCCAAAATCTGCTCCTTGTGTCTTTTTAGGATATAGCACCCTTCATAAAGGATTTCGGTGCTTAGACCGAAAGACTCATCGTGTGTATGTTTCTAGACACGTACAGTTTCATGAAAATATTTTTCCATTTAATGAGGATTCTGTACAACATATGCAGCATAACGTTGACTATATTCAATTTTTAGATTGCCAAGAATGTGCATCTAATTTTTTCTAATGCTAGTTCTTCAAATTCTTTGGTTTCACCATCTTCTTCGAACTCACCTTGTCTGCATTACAGTGATACTCTACACATGTCCTCGAACTCTCCCCCTGATAAGCAGGTTCCTCTTCCTGCTAATTCTTCATTGGATTATATAGCTTCGAACTCCAATGTTACTACACCCGCCTCCTCAGCTCTTCCTGTGACCACTTCCAACCATCCGATGATTACCAGAGGGAAAGCTGGTATATTTCAACCACGATTATATCATGCTATGGCTACTTTGCCTTCTTCTAAGCTTTTTCAGGCACTTCTTGCTCTTAAAGAGTCTCGGGGCTTCAAGTCTGCTTCAAAACAACCTGAATGGCTTTCAGCTATGGATGATGAAATTCAAGTTTTGGAGAAAAATAATACGTGGATCCTTGTACCTCGTCCTAAGAATCATAATGCGGTTGGGGTGTCGCTAGATTTTCAAAACTAAACTTGCTCTGATGGGTCTATTGAACGCCATAAGGCACGACTTGTGGAGTTTCTCAAGTTCATGGTCTTGATTTTGGTAATACATTTAGTCATGTGGTACATCCTACCACCGTTAGAATCATTTTGTCCTTGGCCATTACTTCTGGATGGCGTTTACATCAGTTAGACGTTAACAATGCCTTTCTTCATGGAGTTTCTCAACGAAGAGGTATACATGGAACAATTGCCTGGCTACACTAATCCACAATTTCCTTAGCATGTTTGTTGCCTAAAGCATGCTCTTTATGGCTTGAAACAAGCTCCTGAGCTTGGTTTCATCGTTTTAGCTCCTTTTTGCTTAAATTGGGTTTTGTCTCCAGTCAGGCCGATTCTTCATTGTTTGTCTATCATTCTTCACTTGGGACTGTTTATTTACTTCTTTATGTTGATGATATGGTTATCACTGGAAGTAATCCTTCTATGATTCAATCTATTATTACTCGTCTTTCCAAGGAATTTTCCATGAAGGATTTGGGTGATATTCATTACTTTCTCGACGTTGAAGTCCAAGCTAATGAGAAGGGTTTGTCTCTCAGTCAAACGAAATATGCTCTTGATCTCTTGCAACGTGCTTCCATGCTTGATGCGAAGCCCATTTCCACACCATTTTTCGTTGGTTAGCACCTATAAACTGATGGAAAGACGTTCTCCGATCCTACTTTATTTCGTTCTCTTGTAGCCGCTCTTCAATACTTGATTATCACTAGGCCAGATTTGTCCTTCGGTGTAAATTCCATTTGTCAGTTCATGCATGCCCTCATAGAGGATCACTTTTGTGTTCTCAAGCGTATTCTACGATATGTTAAAGGCACTCCTCATTATGGACTTCAACTTCATAAACAGTCGATTCGTGATCTTCTTGCCTACTCTGATGCGGATTGGGCTAGATGTCCTGATATACGTCGCTTTACTACTGGCTATGCTATATTTTTTGGTGCCAATTTAGTCTATTGGTCCTCTAAGAAACAAAGCATTGTCTCTCATTCAAGTGCTAAAGTCGAGTATCGCTCCTTAGCTGTTGCCACGACTAATATTGCCTGGATTATTCAACTATTTCGGGACCTTCATGTTACACCCTCAGCGCTACCTAAAATTCTTTGCGACAATAAAAGTGCAATCTTTATGGTTGTCAATCCAGTTACTCGTCCTCGGTCAAAACATATTGCAATCGACTACCATTTTTTTCGTGAACTTGTTGCTAATGGCACTTTGAAAGTTGAATTTGTTCTTTCACATCTGCAGCTTGCTGACTCGTTGACCAAAGGCATCACTAAGCCCCAGTTCTTTCTTTTTCAAAGTAAGCTTAGCGTTACCCCTTCTAACATGCTCAACTTGAAGGGGGGTGATAAGGAAGAAGCTTATGATCCTCCATAACTTTTGCCACAATATCATCTTGTATAGCTGTAGGGATATTTTATATATTTGTAATTTATTCTTTCCTATTATATATGATTTCACAACTGCAATTATTGCCTATATAATCAGAAGTTATCTCCTCCATTTGGTAAAGAGAATTTCAGTCATTCCATTGATTGTCTAACACTTTTAGGCTTACTTTGACGCACCGTAACATTTGCTATGTTTGGCTGTTTTGCGCATCATTAACGACATGAAATATTAGGCCGCGAGTACTTCAAAATGATATTAAGAATATAATATTTAGACTTCGTTTGATATTCCATAATGAGTCCGAAAATTAAGACAAAAATATAAGTAATTTATTGAATTTATTAAATACTTTTTCCAACCAACAGTTCTCTACTTCTCCTTTCATCGACACGTCACTTCATTTTTGAATTTCTGTAGCCTTTCTGTGAAACGCATTCTGTACGTTTAGCTTTATCCAACCTGAAAAGATAAAAATAATGGAAATGTAGCTCCTGTTTAGCTTTCATTATTTCAATTTTTAATTTTTGAAATAGTATTTTTTGAAGAATGGGTGATCGAAAAAGAAGAAAAAAATTTCGATTTACGTGTAATATATTTTATGAAAAATTGCGTGATTAAAAATAAGAGAAAGAAAATTATAATTTGAATAGTAGGTCCCAAACAGCAGGAAAAGTCTTATTGGGCCCACTATTGCTCCTAAGTGTAAGATCGTTGGATCAAACTTTAAAAATTTTAAGTTGTGTCACGTATCAAATTTTTAAGGGAAAGTTTCACAAGAGACTAAGTATGGTATATTTTAAAATTAAGAAAACAAGTTTCAAACTTCAAAAATCAAATTTTTATTAAAATATATATGATTTAATTTATTTATTTATTTATTAAATATATTTAGGTCACATATTTATACAATTTGGTCACAAATTAACAATTTAATTAGTCACTTATTATTTTTTGTCACAAATCAAAAATTTTGTATCACAAATTATTTTACGATCACAATTCAAAAAAATTTTAGGTCATAGTTCATCGGTCACAAATAAAAAAAATTAATTAGTCACGGATTAATTTTTAGTCACAAGTTATCAAAGTATTGATCACAACTTATTTCTCGATCACAAACCAAAAATTTTACAAGTCACATGTTGTTTTTCGGTCACGAATAAAAAATTTTATAGGTAACAGATTATTCATTGGTTATAGAATCAAAACTTTTATTAGTCACAACTCATTTATTCATTACAAATTATTAGATCAATTGGTCATGATTAATTTTTTTATCACAACTTAATAAATTATGAGTTACAACCACAATTTTTAGGTCACATATAATTTTTTTTTTTATCACAAATTAAGCAATTATTGGTCACATTCAACCAATAAGTTGGTCACAAACACCCCACAACACTTGTGACCACCACGTAGTCACTTCTTGCAGTAGCACCACCGCCACCATCATCGCCATAACTACCACCACCGCCACCTCCCGACGGCAACATCGCCACCTCAAATTAACACATCATCGCACCATATCCACCACCACCTCAATAGACACGTCGCCACCAACATATCACCATAACCATCGCCACCATCTCACCACCCACAATATCCACCACCACCAACAAAACCACAACCACACCATATCCAACGTAACCTCCACCACGTTGGATCTAACAAAGTCGCCACCACCTAACCACCACCACCACCACCAATACAACCCCCATCCACCGACTAAAAGCAAACCCAAAACCCCACCAAATCGCGGAACTGCAGATTCCGGCCATAGTCCACAACAGATCTTGACCACGGCAGCGCAGTAGTCTAACTTGTGAGCTTCGAGCCACGCCGTCAAAGGTTACCACATTCTCACCAACATCATGGTTAGCACCACGATCACTGCCTATACCAAGAATCACCATCACCATCACCATTTCCATCTCCACACCACACCAAATCAACCAAAAAAATTCCCAATCTCAGTGTCGCTGCCGTCGCCACACCACCACCACCAAAAAATCGTGGTTGCAGTGGGGGCGATAGGCGCATTACCCTCGCGGAGAGTTGACAACACCTGGGATGACACCGACGGAGAAGTTGAATAAAAAGAGATAGACTCCAGTGGTTCTACACGCGATCGCTGCCGTTAGCGATCGTGTACAGCGGTGCTGCTACCGCTACAAGGTGTCGTTTGGTCGGGTCCGAATTCGCCGGAGAGAGAAGAAGGTGCGGCGCCAGAGATTGGGTAGAGAGGCCGTGAAGAGAGGAGGAGAGAGGAGAAATTGATTAGGATTTTGAAATGAATTTTGTATAATTAATATTTAATATTTAAATATAAAATGGTCTGATTTTTGAAAGATTAAGCTATCCATCTGATTTTAGAATACGAGATTTTTAAGGTAGGTTATTGTGTAATTTTCACAATTTTTAATTTTGCAAAAAAGAAAATTGAAAAAGTTGGACCAAACTTTAAAAGCTCGTACTTCGCTTAGATTTTTTTTCTAAAATTAATAAAAATTTAAAACTAGAAACCAACAAATACCCGATTAAGTCATAAATGTCGTTTCACTCGCTTCCATTTGATTGTGAAATGTTTTACACTCAATAATGTCTTACTTTTTTTTCCCTTGATAAGACTACCGTACCAACTAATGACTGACAAAATTTTCATGGCTAATGAATTTCGGCCATGTTTGGTGGAACTGGAGGGAAGTGGGGGATCCTCAAATTTTTTTCTCCGTAGTCAACTTGAACAATAGTATAAAAAAATGTTTTATTCCTTATTTGATTCTGAAAATCTTCACTTTAATCTTTAAGGAAAGTTACATTTAATTATTTTATTTAAAATTTTAAAATAAAATAAATAAAAGATATGAGTTGAAGTTTTGTTGCCCTCTCATTTGTAAAAATTGTACACGCATCAATCTTTTAGGTGTAAGTAAATTTGCTTCTCATTAATAATTGAATATTTTACATTTCAACCAATAAATAATTGATTAAGCGAAATTTGTTTTCGTGGTATTTGAGTGTGAATGTAACTGCCTAATTTATAGATTTTTAAATCAAAATGGGTAAAATACATAAATTGAAGTTTTATCGCCGTTGAAAAAGCATCAATATTTCTAAATAAAAATTGGAATTTGTACAAGTACTTCAACGAATAATCGGCTCTCTTTTCATTATATTTTGCTCCATTTAATTTTCACATGCCATAAAAAATCATTTTGGATCTCAGATATATCTTTTTCGGTCCCTTTATTCCCTGTTGAATGTTCTTGATGACACTATAATCTTTCCCTCTATTCTCTTGTCTGTGTTTTCTACAAATGGGTATTGTCAGATACTGGCTTCGGACAATTCTACCACGGTAGCCCTTTTCATGATCTTGTAAGGTCTAGAAAATTTTCACTTCTACAATTTCTGCTGAGAAAGATACATGGAAGCTAGATACAGAAATCAGAATCAAGAAAGGTTTTTTTAAGAGGGGACGTAGGAGATAGACTAGTAGTGATGATTAAACAAAGTG